TTGCATTGGCGCGAATTATTTTAGCTCATTGGAGACGAACATTTTTGTCACAAAATATAATTTTTTTTGTGACGAACATAATTCGTTGCCAACAAATTCCATACCTATTAAACGATGTCGTTACATATTTCCATTTATTAGGTGACAAATATATTTTTGTCTGCGAAGGATAAGTTATGGAAGACGAAAATATTTCTTCACCAATAAACATTCCATCATGCGGACAATGTCATTTCACCTTTCTATTAAATAGGCGACAAACATATTTTTGTCTCAGAAGAATAAGTTGTGGGAGACGAAAATATTTCATCACTAATAAATTCTAATTGATTGCGTGATGAATATATTTTTCGTCTCATAAGCTTAAGTTGTGGAAGACAAAAATATTTCATCACCAATAATAAATTCTTTGTTCTGGTATCTAAGGATACAAAAATATTTTATCACTAATCATTTATCTTTATTAAAATGCCGTGGTTTTGTGTTTTGAAGCATTGAAACTGTGACCCCAAGAGATACACTCTGACGCTTATCACTCATTTTCATGTACACGGACCTTGAAGTCGTGACCCAAGAAGACACTTTCTACAAACCCTCATTTCTCTCTCGCACTTGAGTCTACTCCTCTCGCACAAGTATTGAAGTCGTGACTCAAGAAGACACTCTGTAAACCATTTCTTCTATTTCGCACCAAACCCTCTCTCTTCTGTCTCACACTTAAGACCTTCGTGCATGCCAACATTGAAGCTATTATCCAAGAAGGCACCCTATGCAAACCTACTATTCTTTCTCACAGTGAAGGCCCCTCCTGCACGCAAGCAGTTTTCTTATTATCTGAACCAACTCTACCCTTTTCGTCTAGAACACCCATTTCAGAAAAATTGAAGGTCAAAACCTCTCTCCACAAAAAAATAAAAATAAATAAATAAATAATGTAGCTATTTATTTTATTTTTTTGTGAGAAAAAATACAGAGAAACAAATAATAAAAAAATTTAATTTTCAAAATTAATAGAAAGCATTACCTTGTTTAGTATGGAGTTTTCAATAATTAATTTTTAAAATTTGGTGATAAAATTTATTTTCGTTTTAGAATGTAACCCAAACATGACCAAATATTACTTTTGTCGTTTCTTTTAATTCTTCTCAAAACTATAGGAGATGAAAAAATAAATTCGTCAGAAAAAAAAAGAGGTGCCAATTTTTTTTCTTGTTGGCGCTAATTATTTTAGCTCATTGGAGACGAAGATTTTTGTCCCAAAATTTAAAGTTTTTTGTGACAAAAAGAATTCGTCACCAATAAATTCTAAACTTATTAGATGATGTCGTTTCATTTTCTTATTTATTTGGTGACAAATATATTTTTTGTTTGGGAAGGATAAGTTATGGGAGACGAAAATATTTCGTCACCAATAAACTCTTCATGCTCGTTTTATCTTTCTGTTAATTAGGCGACAAATATATTTTTGTCTTGAAAGGATATGTTTTGGGAGACGAAAATATTTCGACACTAATAAATTCTCCATATGTCATATTGCATTTTGATTGATTGCGCGACGAATATATTTTCGTCTCATAAGGTTAAGTTGAAGGAGATGAAAACATTTCATCACCAATAAATTTTCCATCCCCACACAACGTTGTTTTTGTATTATTGTTGATTAGGCAACGAACATATGAGTTTGAGATAAAAATATTTTATCACTAATTATTTCTCTTTATTAAAATGTCGTCAGAAACTAAGAGACACTCTCACCTTAATCACTTACTTTTACACACACACAAATACTAAAGTCGTGACCTGAAAAGACAGCCTCTACAAACCCTCATTTCTCTCTCGCACTTGAGTCTCCTCTCTCACAAGTATTGAAGTTGTGACTTGAGAAAACAATCTCTATAAACCATCTCTTCTATTTCGCACTAAAGCTCCTCTATTTTCTCTCACATTTAAGCCGTTTGTGCTTGCAAACATTATTATCCAAGAAGACATTTTGTGCAAAGCTACTATTCTTTCTCACAGCAAACTCCTCTCCACAAAAAGAAAAAAATAATAATAATAATTAAACAAGGAAACAAAATACAAGAAATCTAGGCTATTATGACAAAATTTGGTGACGAAATTTTTTTTGTCTTAAAATTTAACCCAAAGATGAAAAAATATTAATTTTGTTGTTTTTAATTTTTCTCAAACGTATAAGAGATGAAAAAAAATTCCGTCTGCAAAATTCAGGTACCAATTTCATTTGCATTGGCGCGAATTATTTTAGCTCATTGGAGACGAACATTTTTGTCACCAATAAACACTGCATCATACAAACGATGCCGTTTCATCTTTCTATTAAATGGGCGACAAATATATTTTTGCCTTGGAAGAATAAGTTGTGGGAGATGAAAATATTTCGTCACTAATAAATTCTGATTGATTGCATGACAAATATATTTTTCGTCTCATAAGGTTATGTTGTGGAATAAAAAAATATTTCGTCACCAATAATAAATTTTCTGTTCTTGTATTTAAGGAGACAAAAATATTTTATCACTAATTATTTCTCTTTATTAATATGCTATGGTTTTGTGTTTCGGAGCACTGAAACCGTGACCCCAAGAGACACACTCTGACCCTTATCACTCATTTTCATATGCACGGACACTCAAGTCGTGACCCAAGAAGACACTTCCCACAAACCCTCATTTCTCTCTCGCACTTGAGCCTACTCCTCTCTCACAAGTTTTGGAGTCGTGAAGCAAGAAGACACTCTATAAACTATTTCTTCTATTTTCGCACTAAAGCCGCTCTCACATGTCTCACACTTAAGCCCTTTATGCGTGCCAGTATTGAAGTTGTTATCCAAGAAGGCACCCTATGCAAAACCGACTATTCTTTCTCATAGTGAAGGCGTCGCTTGCATAAGCACTTTTTCTTATTGTCTGAACCAACTCTACCCTTTCCGTCTAGAACACCCATTTTAGAAAAAGTGCAGGTTAAAACCCCTCTCCACAAAAAATAATAATAATAATAATAATAAAAATAGAGAATTAATGTAGCTATTTTTTTTTGTGAGAAAAAAAAAAGTGGAAAAATTAATAATAATTTTTAATTTTCAAAATTAATAGAAAACATTACCTTGTTTAGTATGGAGTGTTCAATAATTAATTTGTAATTTTTAATCAATATTTTTTTAGTGAACATTTTTTTAATATTATAATTTTTTTCTTTTTTTTTTTACTTTTTAAATCTCTTTAATTTAGATGAGGGAAAATTACAGCAGTTGTCCCGGTACTTTGGTCCTTGTGTCATATAAATGGTATGTGCCATATCTATATCTATCGATTTATCTATATCTATCTATCTATCTATTTATATCTATTTATTATATAAGGAAAATAGGGATTTTTAACTTACAAGCCTTGTGGGAGGTCCAATATCCCAATCTTAATTTTCTAAATTTTTTATTTAAAAAAAAAAGAAAAACTCAGCATTTACTAACTTCTCTCAACTCACTTTTTGACTTCTCCCATATCTACTCCTACACCATTTTCAACTTTTCCCATACATTATGGCTAGTGATGGGATTGTTAAATTATTTTTATAAAAAAATTTTAAAAAATAATTTGTATATTAAAAAAATATCTAAAACAAACATAAATTCTTATTAAATCTATCTATCTATATATCTATCTATTCATATGTCATATTGCATTTTGATTGATTGCGCGACGAATATATTTTCGTCTCATAAGGTTAAGTTGAAGGAAATTTCAAGTGAAACTTGAGGAGTGGACGTAGGCCGAGTTGAACCTGAATCACTATAAATTTGTTTGCCTCTCTCTCCTTTATTTCTTTATTTTATTTAAATTTTCATAACTATATTTCATATTTTTATTGTGCTAAAATCATTAATTAACATAATTGTTAGAACACTTGTTTAAATTATTTTTATTTCATTAACTATATTTATCTATATTGCTAGTCATAATTTTTATTAGGGTATTATTATTTTTATTTATAAACCTAATTTACTCCCCTCTTAGGTTGTCTTTTGGGTAACAAAATCTATCTATCTATATATATATTATATAAGTAAAATGAGGTTTCTAACCACAAGTCTTGTGGGTGCTTCAATATCTCAAACTAAAATTTCTAATTTTTTGATTTTAAATAATTAAATTTCAATTTATCGATCCACTACAAAAAAATGCACTTTTAGCGACCACTTTGTCTCTCTCTCTCTCTGTCTCTCTCTCTCATCACTCTGTCTCTGTCTCTCTCTCTTTTCTATTTGTCTCGCACTTTTCCCTCTCTCTCATCACCTATCTCCTCTACCATATTCACCACTACTGCAAATGACATTCCACTACCACCACAACTACCACTGTTGCCACTTCACCTCTACAACTAACATTATTACCACCATCACCACCACTCTACTACCACCACCACCACTACTGCCACTACTACTACCATTACCTCTCCTCCACTACCGCCACTCCATCTCCTCTACCACTACCACAACTTCAGCACTAATCTCCTTCGTCATCGCCACCAGCTTCACCACTACTGCCGCTCCCTCTCCTCTACTACAAAAAATTAGTTCCTGATTTTTAGTAACCAAAAAAAATGGGCTGCAGAAAAATATTTTTCATTAACCACGAAAAATTAACTTTATTTTAACAGAAAATATTTTTCTTTAAAATATTACCCCTACTTCTACCAAATAAAAAATAATAATAATTTTTTTTCATTAAAATAAAAATGAAACAAATAAATTTTCAACCTTAGTAACTAAAAAAAATGAAAAATCAAAAGAAAAAAATTGCATTAACTACAAAAAAAATATTTTTTTTATTTTAACAAAAAAATAAATAAAATTCCATAGTGTGATCAATATATATTCTCAGAAATAGTCAAAATCCTTAATTTTTCCAAATTTCCTCAAACCCTTTGGCGCCTATGATTTCTTTTTCCCTCTTCTCTCATTTTCACGTTTAAATCTCTCTCTCTCTCTCTCTCTCTCTCTCTCTCTCTCTCTCTCTCTCTCTCTCCATCTTCGCGCTACTCATCTCACTCTCATTCCGACTCCTCCACCGGCAAGCGCTCGAATCTGCAGAGCATCAATGTCTAAGCACACTATAATATAAGGAACCACGGATTCTAGGGAGCTCAAATTTGCTGAGCAAGTTGTTGCCCTTGTAAATCCTAACATTGGTATGCATTCTCTTGTCTCTCTCACACACTTTATTTATTTATATTTTATTTGTTTATCTTCAAGGCTTGAATCTCGTGCTCTAGGTCAACGACCCTATGTGATCTCCAAATTCGCTCTTAGGCCTCGTTTGGGAACAGGCTAATTTAATAACTTTTTTGCTATTTGGTTAAAATATGAGCTAAAAAAAACTAGTATGTTTGGGAAGACTTTTTGGCTTTTTACGAAAAGATGTGCAAAAAGTAGAGAGAAAAGAGAATATTTGACTTTTTGGTATGGGTTATTGGCTTTTTGGCTAATTTAGTAACTTTTTGACTTTTTGGCTAAAAAGAAAGGTTCCCAAACGAGGCCTTAATCTCCAAATTCGACTCTCTCAAGTAAAAGCTCATTCCTTTGTTTCATGGTTTATATATGTGTTTGCTTAATTTACTCTTTGAATTTCTTCTTTTTACCTTCATTTTTGTTCTACATGAAAATTTTTAATTTGAATATTATACAGTTTAAAATCACTATAATACTGAACATATGAATGTAAAAATACTGTATTTTGGTGTCAATCGTGATCAGTGATCAGTCAAATTGGGGAGAAAGAGAGAGAATTATAATGTTTAAAAAAGTCTTGGACATGTGAGTTTTTTTTTCTCTCAATAATAATTATGCTTCTTTTTGCATAGTTTTTGCCTCATGGCCCTCAACTATGCAAAATGGAACTTAAGCAGCGTTTTTGCACCAACATGGTCTTTTATTAAGATAATTATGTCTTGAATTTGATGATTGTAATGTTGCTTGGAACTTTCAGTTCAGTAGCTGGATAATAGAAGTGAGCGTACTGAAATTTCTGTTATAGTTGTATGTTGCTTTGATATTATAACCTTTGATTTCATGAAAACCTTGTTTATTTTTGCATATGTTTATGTTTCCTGTTCAGGCATTGCATTCTAATTCACAACTGAATTATTTTTACTGTACTTATAGGTTCTAATATCTGGAAAGGAAGAATTTGAGTCACCAATATCCCCTGCAATGGATGCCGTAATAAGAGTATTCAAACATGTCAATGGACTACCTGAGCGTGAGGGTGATGGTAAAGTGCCTGGAGCTACATTTTGTTCAATTCGGTTTTTGGTGGCATCCACGTAAGCCATTAATCTAATTGGAACGCAAGGCTCTTCAATCAAGTCAATACAGGAAAGCACCGGTGCCTCCATTCGGGTTCTCTCAAGTGGTATGCTTTAGTTGCTTCAAAGCTACTAAATTGTTTACTATTACTGGATTTTTTCCATGTGCATCATCTACAATGTTGCCTTTCGATTTTGGTGGCAATTATTGGCCTTATTGGTCTTATGCTAGATTGAATTTATGAATTTACAGTTGACAATTTTTTGTTCACATCATTTTTTCCCTTTCATGATTATACTAGCTTATTAATTTTTGAAAGTTTACTATGCTACCCATTGATTCATGACTTTATTCTGTTTGATTTACTTGATTTACAGTTGGCATGATTTTGTTTAATCAGCAACGAAAGTAAATTGTATAGAGGGTGCACAACCTTTACACGACCGAAAAATAAAGAAAAAAATAAAGAAGAAAAAAAAAGTGCATAAAATAGAAATAACCAAATCTCGATTACCAGCAGCCACAAAACATTAACAACCAACAAATAAAATTCAAACTAGTGCTAAATTTACAAAGGAAGCTCTATCATCATGTGTCATGATTTTCATTTTTTCTCCTTGCAGCTTACGAATAACAATGACAAAAAAATAAATGGGTTCTTCTCCAACTTCTCCATGAAGACAAATAAAGGACTAACAGCTTTCTTCAGTCCACACCTCCCTTAAAGGCTCACACCCCTTCTTACCATCATAATAATGAAACATTGAAGTCTTTTAATTTCTTTCTCCTTCTAGTAAATATTTAAGCCTCTATCCTTCTTCTCCATTAAAACCGGCTAATTCACTACTGGAGAAGTCTAATCTTCTAAAATGTTATCCATGCCTTTCAATTCAAACACCTTCCTAGCCACTTGTACAATTTGCTTCTAACTCAAGAATCCTCCCTCATTATTAGTGGTTGAAATCCATCATAACAATGAGAGCTAATCTTGAGCTTAGAAATATTAGAATGGAAAGAGGTTTGGGCCTTAATTGTACTTGGATTCGTTAAAGACTTTGGATTAGGAGTTCCACCAATGGATTAGAATGCCTTTCCTTTTCAGTTTTCAGTAGAAACATACATTGTCTGTTGCAGCACCAAAAATTACAAGGAATATAGAAAAACGTAATGCTATTTAAATATGAAAAAGCTACTCAACTCAGCAAAGTCAAAATCAGCCAACCACATGTATGCAGTCTTAGATGTTGGTGTTAGAAGTCTGGCGGAGATATTATAAAGCTAGTCATCCTGGGCATTATATTATCTATGGATGGAGAATATTTGATGCCTATTGATGTACATAGTTCCAAACATATGAAGACATTTTTGTTTTGTTTTTTAAAATGGTTTCAGGTATTTTTCTTATTGGACTTTTGCTTTCTAATTACTTTAAGCTCCCTTTTCTTTCTTTCTCTGTTGTGTGGATACAGCTTGTATGCTTATCTGTGGATATTGTTGATATACATATCTGTTGTAGAGTGTGGATACAGCTTGTATGCTTATCTGTGGATATTGTTGATATACATATCTGTTGTAGAGTGTGGATACAGCTTGTATGCTTATCTGTGGATATTGTTGATATACATATCTGTTGTAGAGTGTGGATACAGCTTGTATGCTTATCTGTGGATATTGTTGATATACATATCTGTTGTAGAGTGTGGATACAGCTTGTATGCTTATCTGTGGATATTGTTGATATACATATCTGTTGTAGAGTGTGGATACAGCTTGTATGCTTATCTGTGGATATTGTTGATATACATATCTGTTGTAGAGTGTGGATACAGCTTGTATGCTTATCTGTGGATATTGTTGATATACATATCTGTTGTAGAGTGTGGATACAGCTTGTATGCTTATCTGTGGATATTGTTGATATACATATCTGTTGTAGAGTGTGGATACAGCTTGTATGCTTATCTGTGGATATTGTTGATATACATATCTGTTGTAGAGTGTGGATACAGCTTGTATGCTTATCTGTGGATATTGTTGATATACATATCTGTTGTAGAGTGTGGATACAGCTTGTATGCTTATCTGTGGATATTGTTGATATACATATCTGTTGTAGAGTGTGGATACAGCTTGTATGCTTATCTGTGGATATTGTTGATATACATATCTGTTGTAGAGTGTGGATACAGCTTGTATGCTTATCTGTGGATATTGTTGATATACATATCTGTTGAGAATGTGGATGTAGCTTTTATGCTTATCTGAATGTGAGATATAGTTTTTATACATATCTGTGAAAATGATGATAGAGCTAGCATGCTTATCTGTTAAAAAAGAAAAAAAATGAAAAGTAAATGGGACTTGTAAGTCGTTGACATAAATATGTAATTTATGTGATTGTATCAGTGTTGACCAACTATCAAATGCTAATGTTTTAGTCATTGTCCATGGTTGGTTTAGTGTATTTCTACTGGGCTGTGGCTCACCCTATATGGGAATATCATTTTCAGGTACAGGAAGCATGCCACCTCCAAGGACATAGCTGGGAGGCTAGTGGCGGGCATAGTTTTGTCGTTTTACTTTTGATGTATTACATGTAATTTCAAGCCAAGGGCTTAATGTGTAAACGAGTTAGAACTCTTTGTTGTAACCAAGTGTTAACTTGGAAAGCTGTAAGCCCGTAGGGCATTTTGTTATGAGATTAACATGTAATACTTATGTAATGGAATTCTAATGAATGATAGAAGGTGGTTAGTTTATCTATCAACGCTTGTCTTATTTGTTGGGTTTAAAGTTATTATTTTGAGGCCGTTACATTCCTAGCCACTTGTACAATTTGCTTCTAACTCAAGAATCGTCCCTCATTATTAGTGGTTGAAATCCATCATAACAATGAGAGCTAATCTTGAGCTTAGAAATGTTAGAATGGAAAGAGGTTTGGGCCTTAATTGTACTTGGATTCATTAAAGACTTTGGATTAGGAGTTCCACCAATTGATTAGAATGCCTTTCCTTTTCAGTTTTTAGTAGAAACATACATTGTCTGTTGCAGCACCAAAAATCACAAGGAATATAGAAAAACGTAATGCTATTTAAATATGCAAAAGCTACTCAACTCAAAAAAGTCAAAATCAGCCAACCACATGTATGCAGTCTTAGATGTTGGTGTTAGAAGCCTAACCGAGATATTATAAAGCTAGTCATCCTAGGCATTATATTATCTATGGATGGAGAATATTTGATGCCTATTGATGTACATAGTTCCAAACATATGAAGACATTTTTTTTTTGTTTTTTAAAATGGTTTCAGGTATTTTTCTTATTAGACTTTTGCTTTCTAATTACTTTAAGCTCCCTTTTCTTTCTTTCTCTGTTGTATGTTGGCATACTGATGACTAGGTCGGTTAATATTTTCTTCTGGCAAATGAGGTGCCACATTATGCCAACTCAGACAAGAGGATTATTGAGATGCAGGGAGAATCTCTCAAGGTTCTTAAGGCTATGGAAGTTGTGGTGGGCCACTTAAGGAAGTTCTTGGTGGACCAAAGCGTTCTTCCCCTATTTGAAAAGAGTGTGAGTCCTATTACTCTGAAGGTTTACGAAATAATAGATTATGGCACTGGGAACTTACTGTTGTTCTGCCTTTTTTCTATAGTACAATACACAAGCCTCATAGGAACGCCAAGTAGAAACCTGGGCTGAGAAGTCATTGCTGCATAGTACTTCTCAAATTGGGATGGGTGCTAATTATCCTCTTGCAGTGAAGAGAGATCCTCTATTTCACAACTGTGAAACCCAGTTCGAATCAAATATCCATTCTTCTGCAATTTCGCTGTATGGCCAAGATCCTGGACTTTCAGGAATGCGTTCTTCGGGGCTTGGTCATGCCAGTGGTCTTTTTGAAACCCATGTTGGTTTAATTATTCATTTCTCTACTAGTGTTATCTCACATTTCACTTTAGATATTAACTGTTGTGATATGGCGCACATTTCCAATCCTTTCTGCTTTGTTTATCTCAAGTTTTGGAAGTCTAATGAGGTAGCTAGGTGTAGACACCCCATTTTGACCGCCTTTAAGACTCGGGCACTACTGATTGCTTATTTAGTGATGCAGGCTATGCTATGTAAAGGGTCAATTTTTTTGGCAAAGAGAGTGTCAAATCCAAACCTCACACCCCTTTTTTGGACCAATCCAAACCTCACACCTCTTTTTTGGACCAAAACTATTTTGAATAGATTTTAGACCTTGAAACCCTCTCTTTCAAAATAGTTTTTGAAAAATGATTCTACGATGTTCCGACGCTCGCATATTGTTAAATGTTACGCTTTTCGGTAAACCAAGCAAGGACAAAGTGAAAATGAATGAAAGAGAAATGAAATCTCTAAAAAATATTTCAAAGTGCCTTGTTTAAGGGTTTGGACTTGAACAAAAGAGGAGAAGAGGGAAGAAACCAAGTTGGGGAAGAATATAGGCATGAACCGTTAAGAGAGAGTCGAGCATCCCTCGCTAAATCAGGCCTATCCTTTTGAATACTTAGATTTCAACTATGAGGCCACCATTGTTGGAAATATTACTTCCGGGGCTTCATTTTTCACTTAAGAATCTCCTAAAGCCGTGTCCGAACGAGGGAGATATAGCTGGTTGAAATTAGGCATCAATCCGGTTGGACCGAAACTGAGCAGTCTTCACTAAAAGAGGGATATCTCTTAGCACACTTCGAATTTTTATGCAAGGCTTCCACCATTGGAAATCTTACTTCTGGGGCTTCAATTTAGGCTCAAGAATGACCTGAAAAGGCATCCATATGAAGGAGTTATGCTTGCTTCAAGTTGGGGACCAGGATTGATTTTTGCTGCTGACCACTAAGGAGTGTGCCAGCCACAAATGGAGCATGCCGACCATATGCCGACCAGAAATGATCCTTGTCGACCAGAAAAAGTGGTCGGTCGACCATTTGGGGTGGTTGGTGGACCACTTATTTCCAGAAAGCCCAGAATCTGCAGATATTTTGCTCCAGCTATTCCAGACTATCCTAGATATTTCTGAATTGAGATATTTCGACCAATGCTCATATATTGCTATATATTGAGCCATATCTCTCATTTTGCAAGGGTTGGAAGTTGTGGGAACTTCTCACACTAAAAGTCCTCTCTCTAGAAATTTTGGAGCTGAAAACTCTCTCTCTCTCTCTCTCTCTCTCCCTAGAAGCCCCTCTCTCGTCTTGTTTTGAACCTTAAGCTTAGAATCCTCTACACTTTTGCAACGAGACCCTTAACCAAAGTTGATCACCATTGGGCTGAGGCCCCTTGGAACCTATTTTTGGGTTGTTGGAAGGTTGTTTGGCTCAGAAAAGAGGCTGATTTGCTGCTGTGCTTCAAGGTAACCCCTTATCCCTTTTAAGCTCTTTGTGCACTATTGTTTTGCCATAGTTTTCAACTACTTTGGGGCTGTTTTTGGGGTGGTGTTGAACTACAAAAACCTCTGTTTTTACTCTGTTTTTCAGTCCTAAAAGTGTTGGTTTGTGCCTTGTTTGGCTAAGGTGTTGTTCTCCCTTTTGGTTCCTTGGCTTGTGAGGCCTTTTGTGCAACTTCTCACCACCTTAAAATTTAACTTTTTGGGCCTTTTTACCACTAAAACTCAAAGGTTTTTCAGTAACAAAAACCATGTTTTGAGGTCCCAAGTAGGAGGGGGTGGTCCCCTCTTCTCGTCTTATTAGCACGTGTTGTTGGCCTATCAAATGAGCATGTATTTCTCCCTTCTTGAAGCTTAGTTTGAGCATGTTTTTGTGACTTTTTTTTAACATGTTATAACTCTGTTTTTAGTTGGTTCGATCATTTGTTGCATGCTTCTTACACTTGTAGTGTAAATCATCTTTGCTAGCCTTGCATGCCTAATGAGTTAGCTTGTTATTATAGCATGTGTTGGCTTAGTCTCAGCCCATTTTTGGTGTTATTTTGACATGTCATAACTCTATTTTTGGTTGGTGGAGCCACCTCTTGCTTGATTTTTGCACTTGTAGTGCAATCATGCTCATTAGCCTAGTGTACTTGGTGTTTTGGCATTCCATTCTAGCATGTGTTAGCTATACTCCATGCATGTTTTTGGCATTTTTTTGACATGCTTTAGGACTATTTTGGGTGTTCTTGGCCTTATGGGGCTTGCTTTGTGTAGCTATAGTGTAAATGGCTTCACTAGTCTTGAGTTTTGAGGCCCCTACTATGCTATACTTGTGATGTTTGCATGCCTTAGAATCATTTGGCATGGTATTTAAGAGCTTATATCTTTGTCATACTCTCATGTTTATTACTCTTTAATTGTGTTTAAGAGTTGTGCCTTTATGCCTTGTTTATGAGCCATCATATGAGCATGCATTTCTAGTTTCTTGTGCCCAAGTTTCAGGATGTTTTGGCCTCTGTTTTGGCATGGTTTAGGTCTGTCCATAGTTGGTTTAGTCATTTAGGCTTGGTATTGCATGCCTCTTGTGAAATGCTCTATACTAGTTTTGATGTTTTTGGCCTTCAACATGTTATGCTTGCATTGTTTGCATGCTTTAAGGTCTTTAGCATCCTTTTTCAATGCTGAAATGTATGCCATTGCATGCCATCTTTCATTTGTTATATCGCTTTGAAAGAGGTCTTAAGCCCTTTGCTGGTTTGAGTGTGAAATCAAGGCATTCATGCCTAATGGTTTGAGTGTGAAATCAAGGCATGATGCTTCTTTCATGCTCAAGAAGCTTATGGCTTGGTCCGTCTTTCCAATTAGAGGACTTCTCACTTTTGGACTTAACCAATTAAAGGATGGATTGGTAATCTAAAATGAGTAAACAAAATTGAACCAAGTAAAACATGCCAAGATAACATGCTTGAGTTGCATTGCATGTGTTTGGATCGGACGTTAATCCAAACACAAGGAATATGGCACATTTCATACTCAAAGTGATGAAATGTGTAGCATTTCTTGGTCGCCGACCCTCTTAATCATGCATGATAGAGGTAGAGGCTCTTATGTGTTATTTGTGCATTCATTGACTCGTGCAATCTTGGCTTCTTGGCCATTGTGCATTGCGATGCTTGGTTGGCGGCCCGAGAGTCGAGAACCACACTCCCTTGAGCCTGAGAAATGATAGGGAGGGTGGTTGTGCACACATATCTTGCAAATACACTGCTATGCCCTTTGTTGTTCTCTGTTGTAGCAAAACTAGAGTTTGGAGAATCAGCTGGTCAACCGACCATAAGAAGTAGTCGACCGACCAATAAGGGTGGTCGGCCGACCTTTTTTCTGGTCTACAGCCCCTTTTTCTGGTCGGCAGTCCACCAGAGGGTCCTTGTGTTGGAGCATAAGCAATCTGGAAGTTTGTGTAATTTTCAAAGATCAAATCAAGTGCAAACAAAGGCAATTGGTGGCATAGCAATGGATTTCCGAGTGAGGCGATCGAGCATGCATGCATCCCTCGTCCCGAGGCCTTCTAACTGTTTTGCTTAGCTAAGTTAGCTTAGTCGTTGTTGTAATTGATTAGTTAATGTGTTTAATTAATTCGGTTTGTAACAAATTAGCTAGATTAGCTAGTTGTTCCAATTTTGTAATATTTAGTTAACTAGGAATAGTTAATTAGTTTTGTTTTGTAATAATTAGTCTAATTAGTTTAATTAGATTAGTTTAAATTAGCTTAGCTTAGATTAGCTTAGTTTACTCATTCGGACCCTTCTTCGCGAGGGCGCAATGTTGTAATAAGAGTGCGTGCGTGTGTGCATGTCTTCCAACCACACGTCTTTCTCTCTTTTATTTGTCCGCTTTCGGTGGTTAGATTAGGGCACATTTTGATTAGCATACCTTATGTTTGCATGTCAGCATCATTCATTTGTATTGCATGCACCGGGCTCAGCGCATCATTCAAGCTGCATTGTATTTCAATATCTATTTGAATACGTGTTCCAAAGCATGTTATCAAATTGTTGCATTCATATGCCATCTTAGGTAGCCGAGCCTATCTTATTGCATTATTGCATGTGTTGCGAAAAGCATCTTGCATAGCTAGGATCATGCATGATTTTCACTATGGCTTTTCTATATGTAGCTAGGCCAAATGGTCAAAGAAGGTATCTCAGTAAGACTACCTAATATACCTCTCACACCTAACACCGAGAAGTGAAAGGAGGATCAAACGGTACAGCGGTAGTCCAG